CGGAAACATGTGTGAAGGCACATTGAAGTTTTAACTATATTCTTTCTAGCTCGTCGATTCTTTTCAAACCTTCTAAATCCTAAAAATGATTTATCTGGGGAAAAAAGAAAAGAACAAACTTTCGCAATTCTTGGAAATCTTTTGAAGAAAATTTTGCATTCGCTTAAAATAAAAAATGAATTCTTCTCAATCTTTTCTTTCAGTTGCAGTATTAAACTAGAGATTAAATTTACAAATTCATGAAAGTTTAAGAGATGAAAGGAATTGAGTTTTTGCAACAAACTTACATTTTCTAACCCCTATATCTTTGCAACCTGATGGTGTAAACCTTTGATATTTCAAACTTAGACTATTTGATCTACCAGAATTAATAGTTTGAAATATCAAAGGTCTAGGAAAACGGGTTGCTAAATTATAGGAATTAGAAAATCTGAGTTTGTGGCAAAAACTCAATTCCTTTGTAAAAATTTGCAAATAAAATGACAAATTAAAAAACTTTGAGCCCCGAGTGTTACCCTAGCGTATCAAGCCAAAAATCAATGAGTATTTTGCAAATTACTTCTTGAAAATCAAAGCTAATAACAAGTGCTTTATAGTGCTAAAATATACATGTAAAGGGCTACAGTAAAGCATAAGTGAGTTAGAGCGGTAAAATCTAAGCCCAAGTTCGAATTCGACACTGTCTTAAAATTGATGAGACTGTTTATAAGCAAGCTTAATATATGTGATGAATTCCGCCAAACTCAATAGCCTAAGATTGAAATTTCAAAAGGTTTACATTTGGGTTTTCAATCGGAATACAGTTGCGCGGAATTGCAAGGTATTGTTCTCGTATTGCGCGGAATTATAATGAGTAAATTAAAGGGCCCGCAATTGCGCGCAAGTAAAATCCCTTTGCGTTGGAAACCCTAGTTTACATCATCAAGTTGCAAATATATAGGGATAAGTTTTTATTCTGTTTAGTTCCTTTTAAAGAAAATTGCACAAAACAAAGTTAAATAATGGGGGGGGGGGGATTAAGTTGTAATTTCAATTAATCGTAAAATTGTGAATTAGGAAATCATGACATCTTGAAAAAAAAGAAGAGAAATCCTGTGAAACGTATTATAATTAATTATGATTTCCACTGTACCCTGATAGACAGTGTTTATACAGATCATTTCTTAAAATCAAAACTGAAATATTCCTGGCAGATAGAGGGGTCAACGAACGCTTGAATATACAGTTACATAAAAATAAAATGAAGAGATGCATGGGGAACTAGGAGGGGGGGGGGTGGTTATCCGGCAAACTTATTTATATTTTCTTTCATCTCTTATAAAAATGTGTTCATATTTTTACTCACAATGCAGAATCAAAAGAATCTTAACTTCTTTTTATTTTATTCGAAATCTCCAATGTTTTCAATTACAACTACTTTTTTCTGAGGTGCTATTGAGAAGATAAAGACATTTATATGATCCTCAAATGTCATGGGGGTTTAAAAACTAAGTCTAGCTTGTAATGCCAAATGAAATTAACGTCTTGTTTATTATAAGATTGGAGTGGTATAAGTAAGTTGCTTTTTTCTTTAAGTTTAAACTTTCACCCATACTAGCTGCAGTTCCGGGCATTGCTATAGCTTCGCATTTTTTTGCCCATGTCAGCTCTCCTCAGGTACAACCTACAACCGTACATCACTTCAAACAAACTAGAATTTTCAGTTCTAGCCACGGCAAAACAATTCTGCCTTCTATATTTAAGACATCTGCAGTACTGATAGACACCCTGTTTGTTTAGAGTAGAATAAATATAGTTTTCACCACATATTAGGTTTTTTTACCCCTCTTATTATTAAGCAGTCTCTCTGTCATGATGAACTTTGAAGAACTGATTAAAACCGCTATTTGCGAATTTTCTAAAAAAAAATCCCGCATTTCATAGTCAAGTTACGCTTAGGAATTCCAATAAAAGCTATTTTATAGTGTATTTTTAGGTTATAGAGCAAATGACGTCTTTAGTCATAGAGCAAATGAGGTATAGAGCAGATTAAATATAGAGCAAATGACCTATAGAGGAAATGACTTGATAGATTAAATCGAACTAGAGCAAATGGCCATAGAGCAGATGTCGTAGCGCCAAATTTAACTTCAAAGTGCGGAGTAATGATTAGAAACTTGAAATTAGCTTTACATAGACGCTATAACTATGTTTTGTTGGTAAATTTGTTAATATCTACTGCAAGAGCGTTCTTACTTTTTTGTTGCTACACAATGTATTTATCAGTGAGGGAATATTCCAGAGAGAGAGAGAGACTGGGAGAGAGAGAGGGGGAGATCTCCGTGTATTCTCCGCTATTCTCCGCAATGAGACCTAGAGACAAATCTTCTCTCAGAGAGGAGAAATATACACTTTCAAACTCCGAGGGATTTAGTTAGATCGTGAAAACTATTGGAGAATGTGATCCAATCTTTTCATCCCATCTCTTCCCTTCTCATCTTATCTAATCTCATCTTATCTTATTTATCTTATCTTATCTAATCTCATCTTATCTTATTTATCTCATCTTATCTAATCTCATTTTATCATATTTATCTCATCTTATCTAATCTAATCTTATCTTATCTTTTCTCATCTAATCTCATCTCATCTTAACTAATCTTCTCTCGTTTAATCTCTTTTCATCCTGTCCTATCAATTAGCTCAACTTAACTTATCCAATCTTATCTTATCTTATTTATCTCATCTCATCTAATCTCATCTTATCTTATCTTTTCTCATCTAATCTCAACTCATCTCATCTCATCTAATCTTCTCTCGTCTAATCTCTTCTTATCCTATCCTGACTTATATCTTAGTTCAACTTAACTTATCTAATTTCATCTTATCTTATATCTTTTTTCATCTCGACTTATCTCATCTTTTCTTATTTTATACTATCCTATCTCTTCTCATCTCAGAAAGCAGAAAAGAAAAGTATAATAAGTAAAAAATTGAGCTATAAACAATAACTGCAATTCCTTTTACAAAAGTAGAAGCAAATCAAAAGAATTAAGAAAAAACTAAATTTGTATGGTCATTGTTGTTCAGGGGTGAGAAAATTATAGGGCCCTTTCCTTTATAACTACTTCCAGAGTTCGGTACTTTTGATTTGAGTATCGTTAATTTTGAAGGATTGATCTCAATATTCAAAGTGGGCAGTTTCAAATTTAAGGATGCATCATCCTTCAATCAAAGTTATGACCACACCGCCGGGATATGGAAGAGTAATTATAGTAATCCGCGTATATCATACATAAGATGTAGATCAATACTTAATCTGGCCAATAAATATATTTGTACTTAAGCGGAAACCTATTTGTTATGAAAAGAATAACTATTTCTGGAAATACTAGTTTTCCATTTCCTCTTGATGTTCAAATGTTCAAAATATTCTAAATGTTTAAAATATTCAAAATGTTCAAATTGTTCAAAATGTTCAAAACGTTCAAAATGCTCAAAATGTTCAAAATGTTCAAAATATTCAAATTGTTCAAAATGTTCAAAATGTTGAAAATGTTCAAAATATTCAAAATGTTGAAAATGTTCAAAATATTCATACTTTCAGAGTTTTCGGATTTAAAATGTCCGTTTTAGTCTCCGGTGTAGTTCTTGAAATGGAGAAAAACGGTTCAATCAATGGTACGTTTTAGAATTTCATATAAAGGATGTTTAGCCAAAATTAAGACTTTTTTCCGTGACCCTCAGCGTACAAAAATGGCAATGCCCGATTTACAACGATACCCTTAATCTAATCGAAAATCTAAAGGATAGCGTCGTTTTTCTGACTTGATAAGTTTATAATTTAGAATCTTTTTAAGGGTATTGTTGTGAATAGGACATTACCATATTTGCATGGAGGGTCACTTAATTAAACTTACAGTCCTTAAAATAACCCTCATCCTCATCCTCATCCTCTTCCTCTTCCTCTTCCTCTTCCTCTTCCTCTTCCTCATCCTCATCCTCATCCCCATCCTCATCCTCATCCTCATTGTCATCCTCATCCTCATCCGCATACTCATCTTCACTTCTATCTTTTCATTTTTTACCTGATATTTGAAAAGTTTTCCTTTAGTTTAAAGATTAACATATCTTTTAGATGGGTTAATCCCACTCTCGCTTCACAGATTTAAACAACCCAATTTTTAAACACATTTTACAAATTTATAGTTAGGGTTTTATTCACTAAACAAAAGTCTGTAAAACCCATCTTTTAGGATTTTTCTAAAATCTGGTGGATTTTCTATAAATACCTAGGGTTGTTAATCGTTTTTGAGAATGATCGTTGAATGATCGTTTTTTTATCGCTTTCGAAAACGATCGTTTTTAAAAACTACCCATTTGTTTTGAACTTTATAAAACGAAAAACGAATGTCTCTTCCTTTCTTCGTTAACGATCGTTAACGAAGGATCGTCGTTAACAATCGTTATTGAGGAGTCGTCGTTGAAGATCAATAATGGAGGATCGTCTTTAACAATCGTTTACAAAGGGACGTCGTTAACGATCGTTAACGAAACAACAAGATTTATAAAAATGATCACTTTGAAAAACGATTTTAAAAATAAGACCTTTTTTAAAAACGATCGTTTTGAAAACGACCGTTTTAAAATACGAACGTTTTTAAAAAGCAATCGTTTTGAAAACTATCGTCTTGTTTTCGTTTTTTGTCGTCGTGAAGATTTATCTTGATTTCTTTGTGTATCAAACTTAAATCTGAGTTTATTTTTGAACTTAGAATACTATCTTGCAGATTTTTACTTTCAAACATTCATGGAATTCTTCTTTCTGAGGGTCAAACTTTGTAAAAATTAATATGACTTAAAAAGGGTATTTTCAAGTGCCCCCCCCCCCCCTTCCATTTAATAAGTTTAATTTCGGATCCACAACGATACGTCCTTTAAACCATCGGCTGTAAAACTAGTTATCTGGTTATTTTCGGACTTCAATCTATTTTTTGATAATGATATGTTTGTTTAGATTGTTAATATCTGCATGAATTCTTTTCTCCTAATAACAGGACTGTTCCTCAACACAGTGTCTCTCTCTAAACTAGTTAGGTAAAGGATAATCCAACTATAGATACTAGCGCCTCGAGTGGTCAAAAGCCCATAAAAAATTTTAATTAATGTAATAGGCTTAATAATAGGCTTTTGGTATAAGGCTTTTAGGGCGCTTCTTTTTCAATTGTAAACATATGTGCTCTTTGCATACATTGTAAAATATAAAAAAAAATATAAAATATATTCGCGAATTTTATAAAAAAAATTCGTGGATTTGCAAAATTTTCAAAAATCGAATTTTTTTAGAGACCAATATTCTAAAACTCTATTTTTTCTCCATAAACTTTTTTTTGAATTTTATTCTTTTTATGTTTATTTGTTGAAAATATAATATTTTTGTTATTTTTGAATTTGTTTAGAGAAAGGTTTGTTGAAAGAAAAAAGAAACGAATGAGTTTATTGCTCATTCATCTTGGCATAGCAGACCTTATGGTAATTATTACTATTACTATTACTATTATTATTATTATGACAAATAAAAATGATCTGAAAGTGACATGTGTTCAATAATTATGTTGATATAACGGGTGTTCAATGTTCTAATATGTACAAGACTAAATTATAATTATTATTATTATTATTATTATTATTATTATTATTATTATTATTATTATCATTATCATTGTTATTATTATTATTATTATCAGGTTATCCTACTGCACACCCCTCTGGAGATAGTCTGGTCCGTGACAGTAACCTGGGAGGGATCAAACCTACTATGCAAGATCTGCATCTTCGCCAGGTACACCAATCAATCAATTAATCATCCTTTTTTGGCCTTCTTGAGCTTTACTCCGATTTCAAATTTCCTATTTGCTTAAACCGACCAACTATATCGTAATAATTCGGAATTATGAATTATTTTATGATTACAAAATCGTACAGAATTATTGCACATATTTCAAAGAGGGGAGGGGGGGTTCAATTCCTTTTCTAGTTCATCTAATTTAACATTAATTCACCTTTTAATTCTATCACCATTATATTAATATTGATTTATATTCAGGAGTATGGGATTCTTCCTGTCTAGCCTAATCATCATGGTTATCTCGGTTGACAGGTTTGATTCTTTAACATGTTAAAGGGACTGTACGCCCCATTTCATATCCAACACATTCTATTCTAAAGTTTTTTCAAAGCTACTGGCAAACCTAAGCTTTGTAAACAATGAAGGAAATTGTCAGATTCGAGCCAGAGAAAAATATGTTTGCTCCGATAGAATTGTAAACAGTTGAAATTTAAATTAATTACAATGGCCATCCTTATAAACACCAAAGCACTAAAATGCTTAAGCAAAATAGTAAATGTATGTATGTATATATGAAGTATTAATCTCGCTTTGTCTGTTAGTTTGTCCGATTATAACCCCTAAACCGATTTGTCTCAAATTTGTACTGGGGAAATTTATTACCTGGCAAAGTAGGGTCCCCAAGCTAGTGTTTTAATAACCTTTATTTTTTCAGGCTTCACGCTGTGCTCTTCCCTATACATCACAGGTTTGTATTAACTTTACTGCATATTTTCAATATTTCGAGAAGGATTGCATAAATTTTTACAAAATCGTTATACCAGGGTTTCCAGTGGAAGAACAAAACTGATGCTGGCTCTAGCTTGGGTAGCAGCGCCTATTCTCAGTATTCCACAGGTAATACACACTGATTTAAACTAACTTTCCCCAGATATCTTAGCACCGTTAAATTATTCAAGGGGTTTTATACAATTATACCTAAACCTCGGAAATTGAAAAAAATAATAGCCATGAAATATGTGGAAACAGTTTTAAAGAGCTCCAAATAATTATTTAATTAAAAAACTAAATATCTGCAACATTCCTTATCAGTATATTTAAAAAACAAAATTTTATATAATTGTTTTGAAGTTTCTTAAGTTCTGGATTGAACTGTAGCACTTTTAGCACTCGCATTTCTAGCTTTCAATCTCTATAAAAAAATTATGTACTTATAAATGTTCTTTTGGAAAACATTATCATTTTTTTTATCTCTTTTAAAACAGTGTGTTTTCAAAACAAATTTCTTTTTAACATTGTAATCATTTTAATTTCTCACTTTAAATAATATTGAAAATTAATGAAAAATGTTTGTTTGGCTAAAACGTGTTAACATTTAGTTGTTTGTTTGGAGCCTGAAAAACCATCCCTTTATTACGGACTACTTTCAGTGCACCCCAATAGGATACTTCGAAAATCAAGTTTTGGTGAGTGAACATAAAAAAATGGATTTTTTTTTTCTCAAGATTGTTTATCGCTTTGACGCAGACTCAAATTATCCAGAGCTGAAAACTTTAGAATGGTGGATATCGGGATTACTGCTTGATCCTCTCTTTTTGATAATCTCAAGATTAACATAATCTTGCAAGATTATCTTAAAAGTGTATGAAAAACGATAAAATTCAAATTAATATTTAATTATCTGAGAAACTGTAGCAGCCAATCAGAGAAAAGCGGGCAACCAATGAGAGAACAGAAATATTCTCATTGGAGAAAACAATTAACGGATATCCAAGGAGAGAGAAAAAGAGTGGATTAGGACAAAAATGAAAAGTTTCCACAGTGGATATTCGGATCAAGAAGTCAGGATTAAAGTTTATCCATTCTAAAGTTCCCAGCTCAGATATCTTAGATATAAAAAAATTTAGATTATCTGATCTAAGAGAATTAAAAGTTTGAAATATTAAAAGTCTTCTACATCATTGTGTGTCCAAGAAATAGTGATAAGAAAACAAATTCTTTTGACACTTGACTTAACCTGTCTGAATGTCTAGAAGGTGATCTACAACGTGTTCGTGAACATGTGTCTCAGTGTGCTCCCCTTCACCGTCATGCTCATCTGCTACGTCACCATCATGGTCGTCATCACAAGAAGGTATAAACTTGACCAATTTAGTAAATAATGGATCAATTCGGTAGATAATGAATCAATTTAGTAGACTATGAATTAATTTAGTAGACTATAAATTAATTTAGTAGACTATTTATTAATTTAGTAGATTATCAACTAATTAAGTATACTAGTAATTAATTTAGTAGATTTTGAATCAATTTCCTACATTATCAACCAATTTATTAGATTATGATGAATTTGGTAGATTATCAACTAATTTAGTATATTATGAATCAATTTATTAGATTATGAATCAATTTAGTAGACTTTTAATTAATTTAGTAGATTATGAATCAATTTAGTAGATTTTGAATCAATCTTACATTATCAACCAATTTATTAGATTATGATGAATTCTGTAGATTATCAACCAATTTAGTAAATAATTAATCAATAGATTTCGTAAATTATTAATCAATGTATTAGATAACCAATGAATTAAGTTGATTATGAATTAAATTAGATCATCTCTAAAGAATCATTCAATTAAGTTACTAGCTAGTTAGTACCATAGATAAATAATTAAATAAATATCTATGGTTAGTACCAATTAAATCAATTTAATTAATTGAACAAAGTTCGTTATTCAGAAAGTCCGCTAGCTTGAGTGCAAGTAATGCCAACGATCAAACACGGTTTGACAAAGCTCGTCTTCAGACTGTAAAGGTAAAGATTTAATCCTTTCAATTGTTCCTCTTGGCGTGACCGATTCAGAACAGAACCCTTAAAACCGGCTATTCACCCCAAAAAGATAGATGAAGTAAATACACTTATTTGTATTTTAGAACCAGAAATCTCTGGGATAGGAAGACGACATTAAAGGAATAATTAATTGTATTTGATGTCTTCTTATCCCAGAGTTTTCAGGTTCTAGATGGTTAAGAGTGGACTCAATCTCTGAAAAAATTCCTGAGTACGCCCCTGCATACGATTCGTTACATGTCCATCCTTCACGGTGCAATTTTTTGTAGGATTTCTATCTTTTTATTAAACCTAACAATTACAGCGCGGCTTAATACAATCTGAAATTCAATATTGAATATTTTAGATCACAGGAGTTCTTATATTTGGATTTATTCTCTGCTGGGCTCCGTACAACGTGATGACAGTATGGTAAGTAACGTAACAGTTTCATCATAATATAGATAGAATACAGAGGGACCCACAAATATATAGATAGAATACAGAAGGACCCAAAAATATTTAAACTTCAACAACGGTCTGAAACGCGTCAATCTTTTAAATCTATTCTACGGATTAAAATATTTCCTAAAAAGGTAAACTAAATGATTTGGCAAAAAGACATAAAGCTGTGGAAAATCAGTTTTATGAAATAGACTTCTTAACCCCTATTCCTGCTGGGGGGGGGGGTCAATTTGACCCCCCCCCTGTAGTTTTTTTTACATAACTCAAAAAGAATTGGTCTGAGGCTGTTGAAATTTTCTGACTTTTCTTACATACCCAAAGCCCTCCCTTTAGGCATAAAACCGGGCTTTAATACTAACTACCTGAGTCCTCAGGCACACTGCCTGAATGACTGCTTTTGCCTGTAACAAACTAAATCTTTGTTTTGACCCACTTTCACTTGTCAGATTTTGATAAAGTTTAGCTTTTTTGAAAGCCTATGACATAAGGTAACGGATTGCACAAGTTTTGCGAGAAAAAAAATTGCAAATTTTTTGCAAACAACCTGTCAAAGGAAATTTGCACATTTTTAGTTTTTCTTGATTAAAAATCAGGTTATATAAAATTTTGCAAAAATTTTTGCATATTTGAAATGGCATGGTGAAGGGCTTTTCAAAAATGTATAATTTGTCATTTTTTGGACAAATTTTTTTTTGCAAACATTTTTACTATAAAACTGGATTTTGCGATAAAAAAATTCAATTTTCGCAAATTTGCAAATTTTTTTGCAGATTCTAAAAGTAGAGCACAAGAGCTTTCTAATGATGTATCATTTGTCATATTTGGACATAAAACATGGGATTTAGAGGGGGGGTCAAATTGACCCCCCCCCCCAGCGTATCCTGGTTTTCTAGTACCCCAGCAGGGATAGGGTTAAACAAAAATACAATAATCTCAGATGTCTCTCCCCTTATGAGTAACCTTCTCTATCTATCATTCAAAAGATGTTAGGTACTTTCCACAAGGATTTTCCCAAAGAGACAATTTCCCAAGGGTGTTTTCCCAAATGGCAACTTCCCAAAAGGGCAATTTCCCAAACGGCAACATCTCCAGTCTGTCCTAGCTGCAGCGCTCGGCCCACAGTCTATTCTAGCAGAGGTGCTTGGCCCCTAGCCCATCCTTGCGGTAGCGCTCGGCCCCCCATTGCAGCCTGTGGCGCCTAAAAGGGCCTAATTTTACCTTTGAGAAATTGTCACTTGGGAAAGTACCTAACATTATCTATCTATCTCTCTAACTATATATCTAGCTTTCTATCTATCTATCTTTCTTTAGGTTTCTAGTAGACTCTACCAATGCTAAATCTATTTCCTACACCGTACAGAAGTTCCTGTGGTCCTTCTCCTGCGCTAACAACTGCTTGAACCCGTTCTTCTACAATATTTTCTCAGATAAAAGGTAAATTAAAACCATAGAGATTATTAGAGAGTATATGCTTTATCCATATTGATTATTAGAGAATAATTTTTGTTCATAGAGGTCAATAAAGAGTTTATTTTTATCCAGAGCTTAATAGAGTAAATGCTTTACCCAAAAAGTTTAAAATAAAGTTCAATTTATCCACAGAGATCAAAAGAGAGTTCATTCTTTATCCATATAGCTCAATTGAGAGTAATGCTTTTTTCCAAAAAATTTAAAATAGAGTTCAATATTTCTATAGAGCTAAATAGAGAGCAATCTCTAACCATAGAGTTTAATGTAGCTGGTAGACAATTGGCAAAATTTAATAGAAAGGACTCCACAAAGTGCAATAATTTATCACGCATAATACGATTAAATTTTAAAACATCTTAAATTAATAGCTAAATATAGATTCGCCATACACCTGCAAAGATATAAATTTCTCAACCTATTTTATTTCAGAAAAAAATAATTTATTTTTAGTGAATCCAGTCCTAACCCTGGACACGAATCTCAAAGTTTTATGCTGAGAAACTCAACAAGGGGTTCAACAAGCTGTTATATTGAGGTTAGTTCAATAACTAGTTGGCTAGCTGTTATATTTAGGTTAGTTCAATAACTAGTTGGCTAGCTGATAGAATGGTTGGTTAGTTCAATAACTAGTTGTCTAGCTGATAGAATGGTTGGTTAGTTCAATAACTAGTTGGCTAGCCATTAGAATGGTTGGTTAGTTAAATAACTAGTTGGCTAGCCGTTAGAATGATTGGTTAGTTAATTAACTAGTTGGCTAGCCGTTAGAATGATTGGTTAGTTAATTAACTAGTTGGTTAGTCATAACAGAGAGGTTGGTCAATAACTACTTTGTTAGATTATCGTTCAATAGTGGTCAGGTTAATATATTGTTGGTTAGTCGTTACAGTAAGTTAGATTTTTAATATCTATTTGGTTAGCCGTTACAAAGAGGATTGTCAGATTAATAAATAGTTGGTTAGCCGTTACATTAAGATTTTTTTAAAATTTATAATTGTTTAGCCGTTAGAATGGTTGGTTTTGGTTCAATAAATAGTTGGTTTGCCAGTACAGTAAGGTTGCTGTTCAATATATAGTTGGCAAGCCGTTACAATAAGATTGGTTAGTTAATGAACTATAACTTGGTTAGTCATTTTCTGAAGATGGTTAGTTGCACAGCTGATAATAATCTGTAATTTAGAAAAGAAGAGGAACGAAACCGGTACATATGAAAACAAAATCTGAAGGCTGCGACCATTTGAATAAGATCGATATTGTCGTTAGGTAAGTTTCTATTTTCCATTTTTTGTTTTAAAACATTTTTAGTTAAATATGAAAATAATTTTATTTTTGATTAGTTCTTAATTATTTTTTCTCCCTGTTATTTGTTTTCTTTGTTTTTGTTTGCTTTTGTCTAGTTTCGCAACTTTCTTTTGAAATTGTATATTTTAATAAAATACTGTTTTTATTTAGTGATACCGGAACAAAATCCACAGAAATTCTTCTGTAAACCTACCAATCGGCAATCATCAACCGCTCTGCAGACGATAATTAAAAAGAAAAATATCTAGAACATTTATTTAGAAATAAATTAAGAGAAAGAAATATTTGCGTCGAGCTGAGTTGTAAAAATTAAAATGTTTGGCAAATTCAAGTCTAGTAGCAGCCACAATTTGACCATCAAATCAAAGTTGATTTAATCTGAAATTTTTCGAAAGAGCCAAACGCAGAAATCAAACGGTACATGAACAAATTTCAGATATCTTTCTTCAGAAACGACAACAAATAAACCTGTTTGTGAAAAAACTGTTGTGAAAAAGTCAGTTTTATATAATCTTATTCAAATTATGAAATCTGAAACTTTCAAATTTTGATCTCAAAATGGTTAAAAACTAAAGTTGTTGTGTGATGAGTTGTAATATTTAATCAGACTATTGTAAACTCTTGTCCATGTCTTTTGTCGTTTTACGTTCGGGGATTTAACCAAAAACAGATCTGGGACCTTCAGCCTCGACCAATCAGAGCTGGGAACTTTAGAATGGATAACCTTTAATCCCAACTACTTAATCCGAATATCCACTGTGGAAACTTTTAATTTTAGTCCTTAATCCACTCTTTTTCTCTCTCTTTGGATATCCGTACATTATTTTCTCCAATGAGAATTTAGTTCGTAAATTGCATTGACCAATTGCTAACAAATCAAGAATTTGTTGTCGGCCATTTTGTAAATTAATCGGTGAAGAAAAATGTTTAATAATACGTTTGAGATTCTTTTGTAACAAATTTTAACCAATGTATTAATAAATAAATGGGTGAGAAATTAATTGAAGGCCCTTCCAGTCAGGAAAACGAACTAATCTGGCGTTATTAGAATCCAATTTGTTGATCTAGATATTTAATCTCAAGACTAACATAATCTCGAGATTAGCAAAAACAGAAGATTAAGCATTAATCCTGATATCCACCATTCTAAAGTTCCCAGCTCAGTAGTCAGGATTGAAACGAATGAAATGAAATGAAACAAATGACCAATTAGGGGTTAGAATTGAAACAGAATAAAAGAAACGATTAATTATAAGTTAGGATTGAAACAAAAAAAACGACCAATAAAACAGGGGTTGGTTTGCAAAGGAACTTAACATTTTCCTCAATTTATTTTTCCTTTATCTTAACAACCTGATTGTTAAATTTCATATAAACAACATTTTTTTGCAAAGATATAAGGATTTGAAAATTAGAATTAAAAAGTTTTCAGATTTGAGATCATCAATCTTCGTGTAATTAAAGATTATAGTAAAATAACATTCTCTACTTTTGTTGTAAGCTAATACTCAGTAAATGTATTAATGTAAAAATGTAAATTGGAGAACACTAAATGTGATAAAAACAAATTTGGCCAAATGATTTATATATCTACTATTGTAGAAGTACTAAAATTCGTTATATAAATTTATATATTATACTATACTTTAATAATTGTTATTGAATATATATTTTTGTTGTCTTACTTCTTAAATTTGAAGATAAAAGATGAGATACTTTTCAGTAATACCTCTAGCCATATTTATTCGTAGCGAGACATATTTGAAACACTTGGATATAGTTGAACCACAAAGGCATAGCTAAAATACATAAACGTAGTTGAACCACGTAGACAAAATTGAACCACGAAGACGTAGCTGAATCATGTAGACGAAGTTAAACCAGTTCTCTTTAACGTCAATATTCTGCACTGTTAAAAGAATGCCTTGAACGCTCTGCGCTCAGATTATTACTCTAGATAGTAAAACTCTTTGGTCAAATATATATATATATATTAGTAATAGCTAGCCAGACTGCGGGATCCAATTGGCAGATTTTTTTTTCAAAATTCCAATGTTTTTTTCGAAGAGCTTTTCGAATTCCACAGGAAACCCGAGGCTCTTTGCAGCTATATTTTATTAAATCCTGATTGGCTTGCAAGACTAACGTGTAACCAGGAACCAGGAACCAGGAACCAGGAACCAGGAACAACTAAACAGGAACCAGAAACCAGGAACCAGGAACCAGGAACCAGGAACAAGGAACCAGGAACCAGGAACCAGGAACCAGGAACCAGGAACCAGGACCCAGGAACCAGGAACCAGGAATCAGGAACCAGGAACCAGGAATCAGTAACCAGGAACCAGGAACCAGGAACCATGAACCATGAACCAGGAACCAGGAATCAGGAACCAGGAATCAGGAATCAGTAACCAGGAACAGGGAACCAGTAACCAGGAACCAAGCACCAGGAACCAGGAACAACCATACAATCCTAATATTGTTCTGGTTATTGTCGGTGTCTGATACTCTCCACTGAACCCTTTCTAGTGTACTTCAGATTACTAGAACTAACTGAAAGCTTTGCTTATGGTAATCATTTTGGGTCGTTATGTAAAAGTTTGCTTTTATTTAACTTTGAAAAAAAAATTTTTACTCTCAAGGTCCAAAATTTGACAAAATGTTTCTCTTTATCAACATAACTAATTTGTATTCTACATTAAAGATTAGGTGTTAACAGACGTAATTACAATTACAAATATGGATTTGACGGGGTTACATATATAAGTATATAGGTTGGGTTTATCGCAATATATGATTGTATATTTACTAATGAGTGCATTTAGATCTGCGGCAAAAATATCAAGATATCAAATGCCAAATGATCAAATGCCGAATTATACAGTACAAACGCAGTAAGTTTCAATTAGGTCTACTTCTAGCTAGAAATGTAAACAAATCAGAGTAAAATCATAACAACGAATCGTACTACATTGTTCATCTCAAAACCGGTCAAATGTCAACAACAAAGAGAAAACAAAGAGGAGACGATAAGAGATAAGGGAAGAGAAGAAAAGAGATAAGAGAACAGAAGAGTAGAGAAGAGAAGAAAAGAAAAGATAAGAAAAAAGAGAAGAAAAAATAGAAGAAAAGAGAATAGAAGAAAAAAAAAGATATGAAAAAATAGAAGAAAAGAAGGGAAGAAAGGAGAAGAGAAGATACTAGAAGAGAAGAGTAGAAAATAGAAGAGAAGAGTAGAAAATAGAAGAGAAGAGTAGAAAATACAAGAGAATAGAAAGAAGTACATTAAACTTTAAAATTAACTTTATTGTAAAATTCTATGATATTTTTTAAGAATAAAAATAGTTGTCCTAACTGTTTAGCGCACATTTTTTTGATCATTTAAAGATTTTTGATCATTTGGCATTTGATAATCTAATATTTTTGCGATCTGCGGACAATGTACAACGTAATTTATTTAGATTACTATGGGCCTCTGTATTAATTACAGGCTTAATGAACTGTTATGATGAAGAATTAATTATCATTCTTGTAAATATAGAAAATGAACATTTCATCAGTGGGAACTTATTGACATTTCTTGAGGCACCACTCCAATTTCTAAGGATTTTAAAAAACTACCTCGAAAAAAAACTTTTTGGGGTTTCCGGTGGTTTAGCTTAAAAATACTTTTTCTAAAACATAGATCTTAGGATTATACTCTCTCAACTGGAATAAGGAATAAGTTTTTGTCACAAATTCTGATTTTCTAATTCCTATTACCTTGTAATCCAATGTCGTAAACCTTTTGATATTTCAAACTATGAAATCTCTTAGATCAAATAAGAGTCTGAAATATCACAGATTTTCAACATCAGGTGGTAAAAATATAAGGATTAGAACAAAATTTAATTTGTGGCCAAGACTCAAATCCTTTACTTGTAAAAAGTAAAAAGAATATTATTGAGTGGACTTTTGTTCGTTAGAATTATTCTTCACTGCTGAGGTTGTTATGTATGTATATTAAATAGGACCAGTGCAGATATTTAAAGATTCACATAGACCCAGACTGCTAGAAAAAGGTGCACAAAATGTCAAGACTGGGTTGACTTTCAACTGTCGCAAAACACCCTGGCCTTTGATTTTACCTTACTAACATTTTACATTTTTTGTTGCCATAGGGCATAGACATTTTAAATTCAGGATTCAAGAAGATAATTGGCAAAATTTCCCTCGATTTTTTGCTTGCAACCTTTGGATCACTGCAGAGTGTATTATTGAATAAAACTCTCGTTTTGTTTTATTTATGTTTTAGTAGATATTAATTAAAGATATTAGTTCTTAACATAAAAACAGAATCTACAGAATGACATTAAAGGGACTGTAAGCGTAATTTACAACGGTATCCTTTAAACCTAAAAATGAATAAAATGTGGAAAATAACGACGAAAGTGTTTGGTACCTACCTACTCCATCTCCATAACAATTTACTCGAGACGTATCTATCCAGGTCTACTCGTTACTAATATCAATCAGGACTAATTTTGCGATTCTAAAGGACAAACAGTCCAAATCTCAACTCGTATAATTCAACGATGACCCAGGCTATCTTTCAAGCTATATTCAATTTAATTGCCAATTATCTACGCGAGATCTCCAATCCTATGTTTAACAAGAACCCAAGCTATCTTTCAAGCTATATTCAATTTAATTGCCAATTATCTACGCGAGATCTCCAATCCTATGTTTAACAAGAACCCAAGCCATCTTTCAAGCAATATTCGATTCAATTTTCAGTCAGAAATTCAATTTTTCTTTGAAAACTTTATCACAATTATGTAATTGCTATTCTACAGTATATCCCAGAAGTAGATGTTTAAAAACACACTAGCTTAAGTGCCCGGCGTTGTCCGTGGAATTTTTAAAAAACACTAAATTTTTAAATTTTAAAATAAATATTTGAGTTTTGAAAGAAAAAACAAATTTTGTTAGCCTATGTTACCAGGGTATTCAAGGGTTCCCTCAAAAATGGCCATCGCTACATAACTAACATATATACAAGTATGTGTAGGAAAGAGATTTATATAATCAAGTTAGTGCCCATGTATACTCAAGCTAGCTGTTTAATATCTCTTTTCAAATAGCAAAGGAACTAGTCTTTATCACAAACTTTATTTTTCTAATCACTATATCTTTGCAACCTGATGATATAAACCTTTGATATTTAAACTTGGTCTGTTTAATCTAACTAATTTCATAGTTTGAAATATCAAAGGTCTACAACATTAGAATGCAAAGAAAAAAGAAATTAGAAAATCAGATTCAATACAAGGCCCATATTTTCTTTTATTTCCTTTTTTTCAGAATCTACATCAACTTCTAAATGCATCATCAAATGTATGTATATTTTCTCTAAATTACTAATTCTATCACAATTTTGCCAATTTAACGCTCTTTTATCACAGCAAAGTTTGATTATATAGTATTGATTGTAACTCAACATTATTGGTCCAGGATTACAAAAATATTTTGTGATGTGTATTATCCACATCATGTCAAAAATATCAAAATATATACATCTTTTTAGATAAATCTGTTTCTAAATAAAGTTAAATTGAAGAAAAATAAGACAATTAAATGATAGGGAACCATTCTGTCGCTGTTGTTGTCCTGAACATAATTAAAATAGTTAAGAAGTAAAAAATGTTCCAGTTATCTTTCTAAATATCATTAATTTAAAACTTACCGCTGAGCAATCATCAATACTGGCAATACTGCTACCAGTACCAACCTTATTATTATCAATACTATAGTGTCACATGTATATGTATATGTGTACACTGTCTTAAAAAACATTGGTTAAGATGCAACATTGGAATCGGTTTGACCTTTCATTTCAGTCAAAGAACCGCAAATTGTTTTATAAAATTATTAAGGATTTTGAGTCTGCTGTGACCCCTTTCTGTTTATTCAATTCATTAAAAACATTTGTGAAGATTTTGCTGTGCTGTGAAACATGAGCTACAAACTCAAAAGAGTATATCGTAAAATGAAACTCCCGAGTTTCCTTTTTGGGATTTAGACATTTGTGTGTATTGTAATGAAAGATTTAAACAATCATAAAATAAATGATACTGTGGAAGACGATGCCTGGCCGCGTTAAACAAGTTCCACAAGATTCAACAGAATGAGATAGAACGGATGCGGGGCATAGTACTGATAAACATCTACACGTGTGATATCGATATTGACTCTAGTTCTGAACCCTCTAGTAATAAGTTATAAGAAATATATATACTGGAAGTTATTTATGCGTTTTTATTAGAGTCTGTCTCACGTCCTCTATAATACAAGACTAACATTTAAAACAATATTTTAACCCAGAAACCCAGGTTCCGATCCGAGGTTTATAACGGGTTTCATGACAACACTCTGTCTTAAATTTTGGACTCTGAGCCCAAAACTTAAGTCAGGGTACCGTTATGAAAACCAGTTTTAAAACCCGGGTTTTACGAATGGTGTTAGGCAGTTTTGTGGATATCGATGTTTTTGTTATGAAATATTATTTTATATTGTTTCTTTATATTCTCCATTTTTGTCTAATCTCAATTAAATCAAAATCTACAAAATGTTAAGACCTCATAAAGGAAACTCGGGAGTTATGTTCAACGATACGCTTTTAAATTTCGGGCTCCGAACAAAATTCAGTACAGTTGTACACTATACAGTCTAAACTTATTTTTTCTAAGCCCTTTTTATTATTCAGTATAGTTGTACAGTCTAAACTTACTGCGGAGGATTGTTCAAGTGCTGTAAACATTGTTAATTTATCAGTACAGTTGTACGTACGGTTTGCTAAAAAATGCGAAAATTCTCGTTTGTATTACACAAACTTTTTCGCGGAAATGAATGAAGCGAAAAATGCAAATTTTTTTTTGAAGCTGTATTTTGTCTTTTTTGATGAAATTTCGCAAAAATTTTGCTTTTTTAAATTTCTAATTTTTTCGCGAAATTTTCACATTTCTTATTTTGCAAATATGTTGCATTTTTTTGCGAAACAGATTGAGACAAAATTTCGCAAAAAGCGAAAATTTTTGCACTTCTTAATTTGCTAAATATTTGCATTTTTCTCAAAACAGATTAAAGCGAAATTTTCGCGAAAAAAAAAAAATTTAAACGATTTTTCCTTTTCGCTGCAAAACCTAGTTGTACAGTAAGGGGGAGTGAATTTCCAAAAATAAAACAATTTGCTTAAAATCTTTACGGCGATTCATATCATCAATTCATATGTAAAAAACAATTCTAAGAACAAAATCTTTTATGACTGTTTTTGATTAGAGGTCGTCTTCTTAAGCTAACTGGCACTGATATTTTTGACCTAAATTTACTCTTTTTCTGGATCTGTGTGCTATTTAGCATAAAAAGATGACCTCCAATCAAAAAGTGTCAAAAAAGAAATTGTTCTCAACATTAGAAATGCCTATCGCTTTAACAATTGGAAGCTTAATGCATGCTTATTGCGAAATCACCAATCTCAAAAAAGAGTACATTTAGGTAAACAATTGGAGTGCCAGTTAGCTAACAAAAACGACCTCCAATCAAAAAGTGTCATGAAAGAAATTGTTTTTAAATTGGTTTTTTCCATAAGAATTGACTATAGCCTTAATAATTTCAAGCATATTGCATGCTTATTGCGAAAAGACAAATTTCAGAAAAGGAGTATATATAGGTCATGAAACTTGCAGTGCCCGGTTGCTAATGAGGACGACCTCCAATCAAAAACTGACATAAAATAATTTGTTTTTAGAATTGTTTTTACATAAAAATGAATCGCCGTAATTATTGGAAGCATTTTTCTTGTGTATTGCGAAATCACAGATCTCTAAAAAGAGACAAAAATTGCAGTGATAGTTATCAAACGAAGACGACCTCCAATCAAAAAGTGTTATTAAAAAATTGTTCTTAGAATTGTTTTTTACATAAGAATTGACTTTCGCCGTAGTTCTGTGAAGAAATTTTTAAATTCACTCCACCCATTGTACCGTCTAAGCTTCCATGTGAGGATTGCGTGTATGCTGTGAACCCTGTTCATTATTCAGTACAGTTGTACAGTCTAAGCTTACTTGTGAGGATTGTGAGTATGCTGTAACCCCGGCAGTTGTTAGATCCACCTTTGTACCATCAGACAGGTAAGCACACTGAAATAATATGATCAATCCTGTAAATTAAGTGATTAATAAAGCCTGGGAAATCGGAGCTTATTTAAAGCTAGAGAATGTTTAACAAATCAGATAAACGACCTTTGACCTCTAATTTACAGTGACAGCATGCAAACTTTACCCCAATCAAACTTAAAGGGAGGGTCTGGCTAGACCATGGTTGACTTCAAGAAATATGTTGACCATGAACCGCCATATATAATGCGTCAAATCTGTTTGCTGCAGTGGGAGGAGATCAAAACAAAGAATTCAGGGGCAACACATCATTTTGAGGGAAAAAGGGCCCAAGGGGTGGAATCAGAATATATTGCTATTGTATTTCCCATATTGACCAGAAAGCTAAAAATCATAAGTATTCGCTCTAACTTGATATATTAACTTATTTTTTTTGGACTGTAATATCACATCAGAGCTTTAGTCCTTTCCCTTCAACTTCTGTGGAGGCACTGAGTTTGTTTACGTTCCTTCCACAGTGTACAGTACATAAATTAAACCACTTTTATTCAGTTTGAACCAATTAAAAAGCCAACTGGTTGAACTACCAGCGATACATGGTTCAACTGCTTCTGCCTATTCATGAAATGAGGTCCAAAGCAAATAAAATATAGTTGTTACATTGATCCTTTACCTTGCCAACAATACTCAAGCTCTCCAGACCAGGGATACTAGAGATGAGGGAGGCTAGATCTACTGTAGGAGCAGGAGGAGGGGGAGCAGCAGTGGTATCATTAGTTAATGTCCCATTAGTTGATGTTCCATTGGTAGAGTTATTAGCACTTAATATTACATGTTCTAAGCAGGGGTTGGCTAGGGCTGGCACGTTCAGACTTTTTTGAAATCGTTCAGTACTGTTCAAAAACGAGGGTCTTCAGCTAGATTGTTCTGTTTTTGTTCCTTTTTTTCAATTGTTCCTTTCTTTTTTGTTCCTTCCAGTCCTGTACTTAGTCAAAGAATGGTCATCCTGTTCTGTTCCAGTCTTGATGTTCTTAGTCAAAAAACAGTTCCATCCCCCTGTTCTGTTCTTAGTCAAGAAGATAGGGTGNCACGTGTCAATATTCAAGAAATCTGTGACTTTAGATCACAATTTGACCCAATAAACACAATTGTTTAGTCTTTTTTCTTAAATACTTTTTTGTCGGTATATGCATTTTGAAGAAAAAGGTATAAAATAAACAAATCCGTAAGGTAAAAGATTGTTGAATTATAGATCAAAACACGTTTGATTTCAAATTGAAGAAACTGAATGCTGCTCACTTTGGTTTTTCCGGGGTAGGGGGTTTACTTTAGAGGTGTCCAATACAAAAGTTTTGTAGAAAAGGGGATGTTAAAAAGTTAAAATTGACGATTTTATGATAAAATGTTCCTCACGGCCGAAAATGTACTTTAAATTATATGTTTTAGGGTTAACAGAATAAGCTTAGATAATTTATGTGCCGAGCAATTATATTTTTTGTGAATCCTTAAAATGTATTTGTTGAGAATTACTGGTTTATCTCAAAAAAGGGGGCGGGAAGGGGCAGGGTCATAAATCCTTAAAATGTATGATAGCATGTAATTGCTGAGAATTACTGGTTTATCTCAAAAAAGGGGGCGGGAAGGGGTAGGGTCATAAATCCTTAAAATGTATGATAGCATGTAATTGCTGAGAATTGCCGGTTTATCTTTAACATGATATTAAAAAGAGATATAAATAAGTTATAGAAAACAATTTCTTTCAACCTTAATCTACCCTTCATACGAGAAAGGGAGGCCGGGGCAGGGGGGTAGGGTCAGATTTTAAATCAAAAAATTCTTTTAATTATTTAAAACACATTCCTGATATAAAATAAGTTCCAACTTAGAAGGCCTTCTTTATAATAAGAATGTGTTCCTGATTTAAAATGTTCTTTTCAAGCAATTTTCGTTCCATTTCATTCTTTTCCTAATCGTTCCAATATTTTTAGAAATGTGTTCTAAGTGTTTCGTTCTTTTTTCGGATCGATGGGATTATTTTTGATAGTTCCGTTCATTCTCATGAAAGAACAATCGTTTCTCAGGAATGACGCTCAGCCCTAGGGTTGGCAGGTTTGAAAATAAGCTATTTAAATCCTTTCCCTCAAAAATTAGTTAGAATAATGTATTGAATAGTGGTTCAAAGACAATAATTATTTGCAAAATTGTTCAACCTTGACAGAAGATAAATTCAAAAATTAACCAAAAAATTTAGTTTTCAAATAATATTTTTTGTTCATTTTTAAACTTAGTCAAACAAACCCAAACAGAATATATAAATTCTAGACAGCCTGAGGCGGCTAAATGGGGGATGTCCATCCCCTGGAAAAATAAGGGGACATCCCCTCACCTTAATCTAAGTCACAATTTGAGAGTGGGGTCCCTTTTTTGATTTTTAGCAATGGGTTTTTAAAAATGTTGCCTGTTGCACAACATATCTTTCAAAATGTTGTTAATTTTTTAAATATGTTTTTTTTTCAGGGTAAATTTTATAAGTGGACACGCCATTTGGTTAGAAGTATAATAAGATAATACTGACCCTGATACAACTGGTGATGATGTTGTTGGTGTATTCTGCTGAATCAGTAGAACCAGGGCAGCCAGGTCAACTGAGTTCTAGAAAAGTCTAAATGTAGGATAGAACTGAAAAAGAACTTAAATTAATGTCTCACAAACTATGAATTATATCTATATTAATATTTCTACTTAATTATATTTGTGTTAGCAAATACTGTGACCATGTCCTCTGCCAAGTAAATATATTTATTAATCTTAAAGGGACTGTACGCGTAATTAGAAGTGACCCTTTATTGATGAAGTGGCATGTCGGATTCATAACAGTTCCCTTTCAATCTTTTTCTATGAATTAGATATCCATGATTTTTGAAAAATGATTATTTTCATATATGGTTTCTTGCTTACCGTTATCGATTGAGAATGCTCCTCTTTAAATAAAGGTCACTTAAAATTATGCTTACAGTCCCTTTAAAGAATTCTCAAGCATATCATTGGAAAATAAGAATGTTTGAACTTGTCATTGTACTTAGATTTTTTTAGTTAAGCTAGACAGCTATAGTTAAAAGAAAGAATGATGGTAAATTTTGGTAAACTTTAAATTTGATATGATTATAAATTTAAAATCTTTCCAATTAATCTTGTCTAAAATCCAAACAAAATAATGAGAAAGTCTTGGGAAAGTTATTTCTTAATATGTTTTTTTGTACTAGCTATTCTATCTTAACTCCAAGGAGCAATATCAATAAATATCCCAACCAGGATAGGTTTAATAAATACTATATCTTCATTGTGTTATGTGAAGGGTAGTGAATAGATAATTAAAAAAGAAAAAAAGATATTTGAATTATTCAACCTTTGAAGATGTTTTTCTAATCTTTTCTTTTAGCAATTTTATTTAAATAAACTCTTCACTGTTTTTTTTTTAATTTTGTTTAGGTTCTAATGCTGTGATTCTATATTGTCAGCTATGGCACTTACAATATTTGTAGTTGCAGGAATAAAAGTTGTTGTAGATGTCTCTGATGTTGATATATTTGAATAAGAGGTGGCTGTACTTCTTATACCCTATATATGTCATGTCAGTTTTTAAAACTCCTGTTTTTGTCTATAATTCGACTTATTTTTTAACGAGTAATAAAGCATTAGATTAAATGCCTGCTAATGGAAGAACACCGTAAATGAACTGCTGACATAATTTGAAGGTATTTTTAGTTAAAGAGATACATTCCGATTTACAATAGTTTCCTTGACTTGGTCTGTGTTTAGTGGTAGCCTTCTTCATAAAAATAATTGATCAATTTTAATTGTGGTATCTTTGTAAAGGTGACTTTCGACTGCATCCAGTGCAGAGATAAGGAGGAAAAATGGATATGTTTTCTTTATAACATGGAAGATGATATCTTCATTATTTTTATTCTCTGTCAAAGGTTTGAACAAAGATAAAAAGATTGATTTAATTACCTGGGGTACTGGGGCAGGGGTCTGAAATTAAATAATATGAAAATACAACATTAGTTTTATCATTTTGTTTCTTCAAAAGTTTTAAAAGTTAAATGGTTTTGTCCCAATATTGAGTTGAAATTGTGCTAAAATGTCCAGAAAAACTGAACCAAAAATTAATGAAACACTTAATGTGATTGCAATGTTTTTAAACAGTGCCGTAGTCAATGTAGTATTAAGCGCTGAAGCCATTTTATCAATTTTCTTACACTAGTAGTTTCTCCAGGCTTTATTGCTTGTGTTGTGGTTGTAGTTGTGGTTGAGGTTGTTGTGGTTGTTGCAAGGCCGAAAAGATAATTTGTATTGTTGGGAGAATTACATAAATTGGTTTCGCATATGCAAACGGTAAATGTATCTCCAATGTTGCAGCCTGAGGAAAATCATCAAATTTCTTAAATTTAATTTTTAAAAATTCTATTTTTTACAGAAATGTTAAGTATTTTGGACGATATTATTCTTAAGATGTTATCCTCCCTAATTGTGCCAGATTTCCCTTTAAACCACAGCCTCTGGCTATATTCACTCCATCATCTGAAAAGAAATTACCATTATTTACTAAAACTAGGCCTTTTGGTTGCTTTACATCCTGTTTCTTATTAACAATTTGCTCTAAAAATTGCCTATTTTAATCGTTTTCAAAATTTAGCTGATTGTTATAATAAAATAATAAATGTTGTTTTTTCTGGGCAAATTTTTCAGTTCAGCTGTTTTGACATTTATAAGATTCAAACAAACAGACAATTGCAAAGTATAAAGATAAATTTAAGAAGAAGTAAAACAAAACAATTCTGGATCCTTTGTATTACAAAGAGAATAATTAACAATTTTGTTAATTCTAATGCATCACATAACTTGCTTTTACAAATATTTCTTGTAACAAACTGAAGTTTTGATTTGCATCAACTAATGTTTCCTTTTTCAAAAAAAGTGTTTTAACTTGCACTGATGTGTTACGTTTAAGGAGCCCTGCAAAGTACTGCAGTGTTTTGTATTATCCAAAAACCATATATTTTGACTGGAAAACAAAATGTCAACAATCATTATTTTTGAAAATAAGCTGATTTCAGTAGAAAAATCTGCCAGGGCCATTTTCACACTAAACTAAGCTAGTGGGAGGCCTATGCAACAGCCCGTGTAAGGAGTCGGTCCAGTTTATATTCAAACTGACCCTAGTTAACTGTGCTGAGACTCTTTGATATAAACTTACTTGATTTGCCAAGGAGGCAGGTAGTGACACCATCACCACAGTCTGTTACTGTTCCACCATCTGTACTGTTACTACAAAGGGAATCCTCTCCGCTACACACATGGCAGTGCTGACCAGACCCTACAGTGTACAATGTACATAATCAATGACTAACCATTTTATCCAAGATGGTTGTAGGTGAAATTTGGTGTTCCCCACTCTCTATCAAATTTATCTTTTGTATTGCAATAATTTGTTCTAAACTTGTTTCTAAACCATTGTAGCTTTGTAAGATACTATCTTAGTTAAAAGAATGGAGGGTCACTTGAAGTTGGGCCTATATTACCTCAAAGTTAGAATAAAACTGTTTTTCTAACTACTAGACCAATAACCATAAAAAGTGAAAATGTTTCTTTGTCATAATTTGGTTAAACCCTTTACCTGTGATTCCTGCTTCAGCCCGTGAAAACAAAGAGTTGCTGCCTGGAACATCATTGCAGAAACTTGTATTACAGGTACAATAATATCCTTTAGCATCAGCAGTTACAAAATCCTCGCAGTTTGTCCCTAAATCAGATATTCACTTATCAAAGATCAGGCGGTCAGAGGGATTGTTATAACATGGTAATCAGGAAACTGCAGTGGAAGAATATCACTCACAACTTACTCATCCCACTATAGAATCATTTGAGAGTTAGAAGACAACTTACAAAACTATGAAATAAATTAACGTAAAATTCCTTTGTCCCAGGCAATTGTTTTATGTAAGCAAACTGAGAATAACCATACATCTTTCTCAATTATATTTATCCTTGTATTTAAGCATCCTGTGATAACTAATGTACATTTGCGTACATAATTTATACATTTCAGTTAGAGTTATTATTTTTCAGAAGATTTTCTAAAACTTGAAATTGGAGAGAATGTTGAAGTACTTTCAACCAAAAAGTGCATAGTTCAACCTGATTGTAACATCTTTCTTAAGAAAATTTTCGAAAAATCTTGAAAACAATATCTGTTTCTAATTGATTGAAATCATGTTTGCTAAATTATATAGGTATTCCTTTTAGGTAAAAAGACTTTCGAAAGAAAAATTGTTTTAAAACAACCTTTTTTATAACAAACGAAAACATTATTTTCAAAATAATCGTTTATTGTAATTCCAAAAGATTGAAAATAATAATTAGTTTATTTTATGAAATGGCCCTTCAATGAAATGTCCTGTCTTTAAAATGCCCTGTCATTGAAATGTCCATTAGTTAAATGGCACATATATAAAATGTCCTATCTATGAAATGTCCTATCTATGAAATATCCTATCTATGAAATGTCCTATCTATGAAATGTCCTATCAATGAAATGTCCTATCTATGAAATGTCCTATCTATGAAATGTCAGTTGTAAGCTAAATATTATTTTAAAAAACAATTTAAAACTAGTTTGAAATATTAAATATATACAAATGTGGCGAAAGATAATCGATGACTATAGGTTGTAATATCTGAATGATTTGTTTGTTATTAATTTGATTTTTTTACGGTCTAAGTCGTATGTTCCAACTTGCTCAATTTGTATGGGCGCTACGCTCTTCGGTATGAGACGTCTTTATCAATTTTCTCCTTATAGACCTTTAATGACCAAATAGGGAAAGCAATTAAAAAGATGGAGGGGAAGGGGGGGTGCAGGGGCACACTGTACAATTCCAAAAACACTTTATTTTAATTAATACAGTGATTACTTCGTTTCAATTTTGATGCAATTCCCCACAACGTTTTTCAAGGAAATGTGCAGCTATGTGCAAAATGAATTTGGCACAAGAAAGCGCAAATATTGCCAAATTCTTTATTATTATTATTTCTTCATTTATTATTCTTCACTAGTTTGCTGGAATATTTTGTAGCAAATTTCGCTAGCAATTTGCATATTTGCCTGCGCACCATTAAAAGCGGAATTAGTTTGGAAAAATTTCATTAGCGCAAAGTGCTAAAAAATGCACAATTTGCAATTGAAACAACCAAAGCGCAACGATTTCTTTATAATCTTTGTCGTATGATAATGTTTGCTGTTAAAATCAATACTACTATAGAAACAAGAATGGGTTTAGTTCAATTCCAAGAACATGAGAATATTAAAAGTAGTAGTTTGATAATGCTGTAAATCAATATGCTTTAGAATAATAAAACAGAAAATAGGTTTTACATTTTTAGTGTGCAATTTTTCTTGATTTATTCTCATTCAAAAATCTTGTTTTGTTACCAAATTGTAAACATGTTATTAATTAAAATCTCTTAAATGTCTCAATTTCCGTGAGCCATTCATTTTTTAGCTAAAATCGTTCACCTCGATAACAATCGTCATGGGTGGGGGCACCTGGTTAATAATCCCTAGAGGGAGGGGTATACCTGGATGATATTCATTGGGGAGGAGAGGGGGGGGTGTATCTGGATAATTTTCCCAGGGGGGGGATGTACCTGGATAATAATCCCCAGGGTGGGAGGGGGGTAGGGTTTACCTGGATAATAATCCCCAGGGTGGGTGGGGGAGGGTGTACCTGGATAATAATCCCCAGGGTGGGAGGGGGGAGGGTGTACCTGGATAATAATCCCCAGGGTGGGAGGGGGGTAGGGTTTACCTGGATAATAATCCCAGGGTGGGAGGGGGGAGGGTGTACCTGGATAATAATCCCCAGGGGTCCCACAGCCCCTGGCATATATTTCATTGGTTGGATTTGATGTTTCCGTGAGTTTAGCTGTTGTACAGATAGTTTGATTAGCCCAACAGGACAGAATACTTCCTGAAACAATAAACATAGAGTACAGTGCAACCATAAAACTGTGGAATAGGAAAGCGATTTTTATACTCTCGAGGTTATGATTTTAGATAGTCTAATTCATTATGATTTTAGATAGTCTAATAAACATAAATCAAAGTTATTGTGCAGTGTACACAGACCCATAAGTTGATTTTCAAGCTACATTTAAAGTTTTTTTAACTTCAACATCAAAGACACAAAAACTGTCCTTTTACTGTTTCTCTGTTCCACACCCTTGGAAACCAAGCTGTTAACCATGTGAGTTTCTGGTATATTCTTTGAAAACAATTATTTTTTCTAAAGTTCATGGCTTAACACAATTGTTAGAACAGGTTTAGTAAGAAAAATCTAAAGAGATTTCGTCCCATTTTAAGGAAAATTTTTATTTTGAGGAGTTACTAGAGATAAGAGAATACAGAGATCTATTAAAGGCTAAAACATGCGTTATCTGCCACAGCAGGGTCGATTGTGTACAACTGTCGTACACAACCAATAAACAGACGTCTGCATTCAGGGATATTAGGATACGAAATACAAAACCTTCTAAATAGACTAAATTCATTAATTTAAAAGTTAGCGTATTTCTTTAAAAATTGTAAAACTTAACCCATGAATGGACATTATAAACATTTCGTGTAAATATAGCATGTCATGCCGGGACAACCATTTGCCTGTTTAACCTATCCCGTAAAAGCTTATGTGCAAAATGTGGTAGTTACCTTCATCTGTTGAGTTAGTGCAGACCCCATCCGTACCACTACATCCATAGCATTTTATTCCCACACCAGGAGGCAGGGGGGTTGTGGTTGTTGTGGTTGTTGTGGTTGTTGATGTAGTAGTAGTTGTGGTGGTAGTAGTTGTAGTTGTGGTTGTCGTGGTAGTCGTTGTGGTAGTTGCATGTAATTGCTGAGAATTACTGGTTTATCTCAAAAAAGGGGGCGGGAAGGGGTAGGGTCATAAATCCTTAAAATGTATTTGTTGAGAATTACTGGTTTATCTCAAAAAAGGGGGCGGGAAGGGGTAGGGTCATAAATCCTTAAAATGTATGATAGCATGTAATTGCTGAGAATTGCCAGTTGTTGTGGTTGTTGATGTAGTAGTAGTTGTGGTGGTAGTAGTTGTAGTTGTGGTTGTCGTGGTAGTCGTTGTGGTAGTTGTCGAATCAGTTGTTGTAGTTGTAGTGGTTGTTGTGGATGAGTCAGTATTTGTAGTTGTAGTTGTTGTGGTTGTTGTGGTTGAATCTGTTTCTGCTACAGCTGATGTAGATGTTGTTAAATCTGTAGTTGTTGTTGTTGTTGTTGTTGTAGTTGTCGTTGTCGTTGTTGTTGTTGATGATGATGTGTCTTGAGAGGATATTGTTCCTGCAAAAATATGATTTTAGATTTTAAGATTTTTAGAGTTTTCTTACTATGAGCTTTCCAAAAATCTAGGTATGATATTTTGAAATGTTAAAATGACCGGAAGTTGGTTCAAATACATTAGTTTGGCTTAGGTTAAACGGGCATTTAGTGCTGTGCCTCAGGATTCGGGCAATTAGCACAAAAGCCTAGTGAGAAAAAATCTAAATATCAGACCCCCCCCCCCCCCCCCCCCCCCCGGACATCTTAGAATATGGTTTTATGCAAATATATTTTTTTTGTAGTAGAACAGCTATTTTGAAAATGATTTTAATGTTTGAATCTTAAATCAAAATTTAAATTTAGCCTTGACACTTATAAAGGACAAAAAGTCAACAATTGTATGGGTTAGTCCAGAGCCCAAAACAAAGGGTATCGTTATGAAAACTGATTAAAACCAGTTTTATAACCCGGGGGTTTCATGAATAGGGTTAGGCACTAGGCAGTTTTGTGGATATCAATATTATGCTATGAAATATTATTTTATTTAGTTTCTCCATATTCTCAATTTTTTTCGAATCTCTTAAATCAAAATCTGCACAAATGTTAAGACACCAAATGTATATTGTTGTGATGTACTATAGTATATGAATAAAAATCAATAAAGCAATGCACTGAGTTTCTCAAATATTCAACG